AAGTGTTTGATCTGAGTTTTGGAAAGTGTTTTGGATCTGAGTTTTTGAACTCAGATTAGCCCAGGACACACCAGTTCTAGAGGGAAGCATTCCCCATGGAACACTGTGATGATACAAGGACCAACATGGAGGCTGCCTTGGGATTTTCTGGCTGAACTGAGCTCTTGTGGTTGCAGGGAAATCCTGTAGCTAAGCAGTTCCAGCCACATACTTTAATATTAATTGCGTGTGTGCATTTCCTCTACCGTGTTTATCAGCCTGGAAAATTAAGAGATGAGGAAAACAAGTAATGCCATGCCATGCTCCACTGGCTCTTCCCGCTTAACTTCGACTGTCACCAAAGCCAGCTGCAATGAACTCAGAAAAGAAAAACTGGGCAGTTGCTCTTTCCACTGCAACCAGGCTCATCTGCATCCACTAAAAATACTACCTCTGATAACCAGAAGAGCAGTTTACTTGAACTCATCTCAGCTGGAAAGTGATCTGTCCCTCGGCGAACAAGACTACCACAGAAAAGGGTTTTTTGCCTTTCTGCCCTAGCTAGGCCATTACTGCTGGATGTTTGCACACACTCCAGAATAAGCAGCATCATAACTAGTTTCTTTCATATCATGGACCCTGGTAGTCAACACTCCTGCTCTCTGCCCTCCTTTTTCCAAGCTGTAACCTCTTGTTCTTAATCGATCCCAAAGGCTCTGTAAGGCCAAAAGATTTTTGAATATTTTGAGCAAAATTTCTGGTCTATTTCCAAAGTAGAACCTACTGTTTGAGATTTGATGTCTATACATCTTTGCATGAGCAAGCTCAGCTGCATGCCATGGAACACAGACCTGATATTTGTTACTGTAATGGCTTTTATATCTAAAGAGTTAGAATCTCCACAAGGATTTCCCCTAGATCTTCAGTATTTGAGGAGGCAGGGAGAGGGGGTGAAGAGGAGTAAAAAGCAGCTACACAACCAAAAAAATCCTTCTTTGGTAGTTTAAACATGCTCAATAGAATGTCCTAGAACAAATCCACCTCCCAAAACTTCATCTGCATTCAGCAAGTTCCCACTTTCTTTGATACTCTCAAGAGGTCTTATTAGCACATATGAAGCCAGTATTGTTATTATAATATGAAGCTACTAAGAGCATATAATCAATCAGTTTCACGCCGTACTTGCAGCAGCACAGAACTTAAACAGGCATGGATGAATCTGAGAACAGGTACCAGTTTCTGGGACGCAAGACAACAGGCTACAGAAGGAAATTATCATGCCAGGATAGGGAAAGAGTGTCAGGAGGAACACACACATACACACACAAAAAGAATTTTCTGAATTGGCACTTCAGACTTTTCAAACATGGTGCAAACATTCACTGATGGTATTATCTTGAAGGCAAACTCCAGATGATGACAGGGTAGGCAAAGAAATGAGCTCAGAGAAATATGTAGCCAGCAAAAGAAGAAAGGAATTTGCTCTGAAGAGCTCAGTTGGTCATGCAGGTTCAACCAGCTCTGGTGCTTGCCTTCTGGGAACCCGCTGAGGAGTTCAGCACTGAGGTGGGAGTTTTTGGGCCAAGAAACCAGGCTCCTTTGTCAGCCACTGGAACAAACAAGCTTCACATTTTAAGAGTTAGCAGAAGATACTGAACAAGGAGAGTGATGAAGCTTTGATCTGCCATAACAGTATAGCCAAATGACCCGTTTAGTCTGCTGCCTGGGAATACCTATCCTTAACTATTCTAAGATAATCTGACATCATTAATACTGGATTAGCATTTTCCTTCTCAACAGCTGTAGAAAGTTCTGTCGTTGGGATGCTGATGCAATGGGAAGCATCACTGTTCTTTGCTCCCCATCACTAGCGGGCTCCTGTGTAGCACTGGTGTTTCTTCCCACAGAAATCTCTTTCTCCTCCCCTTTCTCTGACAAGAATTTTCTATGTGTTAGATGACCAGCATTTCAGTGGAGCCCGAATAATTGCACACTTGCACACTATATTGTCAAAAGAGGCATGTGCAGGTCAGAGGAAGAGAGGAACAATACTCACAGAATGATAATCTCAACACCAACAGGAAGGAAGGGTAGATTAATCTGTTACAACATTATATTTGGAGCTGAACTCAGTTAAAAAAAAAAAAAAAAATTGCTTTGGCTTACTCTCACTAATTCTGTGGTTTTACAGGTGAAGTCCACTTTTTGTAGAGGTGTCTGCAAAAAGTACTTTGCTTCCACACCCGTTTTGTGATGGCTATGAAAGAAGGCAGGGTGATGGAGAACCGTCTGGGAGAAAACACAGATTTATATAGAGTGTAATAGAGAGAGCTGTGCAGTAACTGATCTGTCAGCCTGACAGCAGTCCTGGAAATGCAGAATGGGAGAAAGATGTATTTTAGGTTGGTCTAAACTTATTTTCAGTTTTTCTTGCCAAAAAAGAAAGGAAAAAAAAAAAAACAGAAAAAAACCCTCTGAAAAATATGAGAAATTCAGTCAGGAATAGAAGCCTGGAGCTGCACTCCAAACTGTGACTGCTGAGCAGAGCTGCCACACTGTCAGTTTTTGGCTTCCTGCCTAATGGACATAAGAAAGAATTTATGGGGAAAACCATCGCTAATACAAATCATATTTTAAATGTTTGATCAGCAATTACATTCTGACTTCTAAAAAACTGACAACTAATTCACGCTCTGTACCAACAAACTCAATGTTATTAAAAACATTCCAGGCCAACAATGCTAATAATGTCACCAACATGGTTTCCATCGTGCCAAGAATTATATTAAAAAGAAACCCAAGCATAGCAAGGAACAAGAAACATATGTAGGTGATTTATACACACACAACTGTTTGGAGGAGGTTTGTTTTCTTTTGTGATGTCTTCAGCCATGAATCCATGGGAGATTAGCACAAGTATCAAAATTATAATGAAACATTTGAGAAATGTTTACATGTTGTACTAAGGGACATGGTTTAGTGGGGAGATATTGGTGGTAGGTGGATGGCGGGACTGGATGATCTTGGAGGTCTTTTCCAACCTTGGTGACTTTATGATTCTATGATTTAACTCCCTAGTTGGTTCATGCAACCATCTCAACAACAAGATGGCTCAGGAGACACAGTGAGGATGGGCCATGCTCAAGACACTCTCATGCCCAGGGGACAGCTGTGAATACAGGAGATGCAAGCCTTCCTGCAGTGGTGACAAAGCCTACTTTTGGCGCTCATCATTCTGTAAAGTCTGTGGAGCAACACAGCAGAGATTCTCAGAGCTCAGGATTGGCTCTCACACCCCAAATCTCACTACCAAGGCCCAGACCAAATTACAGAAACCATTAAAAGCTGCAATAGTTTTTCTGCTTCCAAACATGGCTTAAAATACACCAAGAGGCAGGACATCCTTCTTGGAAGAACCTCCGAGATCACTTCACAAAGGCATGCCCTCCCTCCCCCCAGGCAGAGCACGCAGCAAGTTCCCTGAAGGCTTTGGCAAACACAGCATCCCTGGTCAAACATGGCATCACAAGTGCTACTTGTGATGGACAGAGACCTCAGGCGCTGCTTTGTCCTGCCTAGTGCTACGTGCCTGTGGCTTCTGTCAGCTTCACAATGAACATGGTGCATTCTCAGACACTTTTAGTTTGGACACATTTTGTGAAAGCTCCTGGCCCAAATCTGCTTTCTCTGATCATTTCTGGTTGTGGGACTGAGAGCTTTAGGAGTTCCCTGTTCTTCAGGGCAAAAGCTCCACTGCCCTTAGCCCCTCCTGCTCCATGCCATAGGCTTTGCCCATCTCCTCAGGAAAACTCAGCACCACACCTTATTTGTTCAATAACCTCCTCTTACCTTGCCCTTCACGTAGCAGAGTTCATGTGGAAAAGCAGAGGCAGAGGAGAAAGCAGTATGACACGGGCAAGTGTGATAAGTGCACCCAGAACCCTGACTGCCTCCCACTAAGTGCAAATTCTCCCCTTTGTGATGATTCCATCCTTGCTGGCCACTGCCCCTCTTTTAGAATCACAGAATACTCCGAGTTAGAAAGAACCTTCACCATCTTCATAGCCCTCCTTTGGATGCTCTCTAGGACCTGCTTTATGGAGGCAGCAAAGAATGCAAGACAGCAAGAGCTGTCTTTGAACCTGCTGAATACCAAAGGAAACAAACATAAACAATACAGAGCAGAGGCTTTATAAAAAGAGATATAACTGTAAAGATGTCTGCATTTTCTTAATATCAGTAGTAAACAAACCTTGAAAAATGTTTTAAAGAATAATCTGTGATCTATCTCATTACAAATTCACTAGTTACAGCCTGAAGCTCAAGATTTAAGAGTTTGCTTAACATTGAAATGATGAATCAACTAACAGAAATGCAAAAACAGCACAGAGCAAATCAGAGGAATAATGTATGATGTAGTCAGGTGACACTGGGTAAGACTCAAAGGTAATAAGCTCCCAGCTGTTGACTGGAGGGAAGCAAAGCTCCAGGTGCTGCTGGGGAGATAAGAGGAGAGTGTCACAGTCAGACACAGGAAGAAATTATAAGGGTTAGAAAACTAACAGTACAGGAAACATGTTCCAGTACCCTTCCCTACGCCTCCTTCCCCCAGCAGTGATGCCAGTGGTGTGTTTCATAGCCAGATGTAAGCTACAGCTGAAGGGCCTGAGCTGCCATCTGAACAATTTCCAGCAGAATGTGCAGATGCCGGAGGACATGTCTTAATAAATAAATAATTCATTAACTTCGACTAATGCAACCAGATAGGTGGTTCAGCAAGCCCTTTGTTTGCAATTAATACGACATGGCACCTGTTTAAATGACTTACATCAGAGATCACATCCCCATACACTGCTAAAACAATTGCACTCCAGTGTAACTCTTAGAGCCACATCTTCCACATGAGATAAAGTGAAGAGTGGGAAAAAAAGTCTGCATTGTTCCCATGAGTAATTACAAATTTACAAAATGGGGCCTTTGCTGTTTTTACATATTAAAAAAAATAATTTTGTGACACTTACTGTTATTTTGATCTCTTCAGGTCCTTCTTGTTCCTGAGCCGACCTGCTCACTCTGAATTCACTTGCTAGCCAGTTAAGCAAAAGCAGGAAAGCAAAGCAAACACCTTCTCTGCAAAAAGAGAAAGTAAACTCTCAGTTTTTTCAGTGCAAATGAGGTAGTAGAGCTCAGTACAAAAGTATGCTGCCAATGCCCCATACCCAATCTGTGCTATAATTTCTGCAGCTAAGTATGTTATCCACATTTTTTAAGAAGAGAAGAGCATGATTTTATCATTTTCATCATCCACTTAAATACACAGTACTCACATTTCTCAATAAACAGCAACTTTATAGCTCTTTCCTAACACCTGCCCACCTAGAATGAAAAACATCTTTCTCGTGTATGTTTCTATGTCTGTTCTCCTTTGCACTTCACAAGAACAAAAAAATAAACTGTCCAGTTTGCTGTGCATAGTGTTCAACAGCTTTTGCAGGGAGAAACACAATGATCTCACATGTGCTAGTCCTTCCAAGGAGCACCTACTACTAATTGTGTCAGCTTCAGGTGGTGGTGAGTGATACGTTCTGCTAAGCCACAGATGGACATAGCACACCCTCAGTCTGCAACAGTTTAGGTTTTTGTACATTTAGGACAGCTTTAGCTCACCCACGTGTTTGGTGCTTATGTCTAGGATAACAGCCTCACACACAGTGACACCAAGCATCTCAGTGGCCTTGCCTTTTTACACGAGACAAACACTCAACAGGAGGCTGAGCCAGATGCAACATTTGGTGCCCAGGATTTGTGCTTTGGTGGAAGAGTCCTTCAGGTACACTTTCTCAAGTCAAAGCCATAAAGCAAAGCCATAAAGGACTCAGGGATCCGTAACTTTAATAGGGACCGTGGACTGACTTACACATCAGTAAGAAGTGATGAGGCCTCGGGATCTGAAGCAAACATCTGTCAAACCATCTTGTCACAGAGCAGCTGCTTAGTGCCAATCTAAAAGCAGTCCGTCATCACTGTGTCTCATGGATGTATTCACTCTGGACTTGTGCTGTGTTTTTTATTGCAGTATTCCTTAGAGTCATATACAATTTTCCTGCATGAGCTGAAAAGCCAAGGTAAAAAATTAATATTCAGAATCATAATGAGCTTTTTTCCCCACATTTTTGCATTAATAATGAGTTTGATAAGGTCAAGGCAAAGTAAGATTTTTGGGCATAATTGTTTAAGGCAGTCTCCAAATACGTTTCATTTCTCCAAGATGACTGTGCAAGAAGCGAGATACTTATTGATCTCCTCATCAATGTTTTCATCTGAGTTGCTATGTGTGTTATGTATACTCTTTATTCCAACACATATTCTTCCATTACTGTGAGGTCATTTTAAAGTCACTTTTATTGCTGTTCCAGCTCAGCCCTACAAATCATCGTCCCAGGAAAAGATCCAATTTACATTCTTTGTGTTAACGCTGTCACCATTTCTGCTCCTGACAGGATGTCAATTACTTTAGGCCTTCAAATACTCCATATTTGCACCAGCATTTTGAACAGATATTTTAATATAGGGTTGACTGCACAATATGTTGCACAGACTTTGTGCAAAAGTTAGTTTCTACATGGCCTAAAGCCTGGCAGAAAGCCAACTGCAGTATCTGAGCCCTGTTTCACAAAAACCTGAAGTCCCTTTTTATGCTTGGGTTTGAATGGATTAATTCTACTTCCAGCACAGCTTGATATATCTTCTGGTGTCCACAGATTAAGGTTTTTCAATTTGTACTTAAAATGATGTAGCTCACTTTTCTCCTCAGGATTTATAATTGCAGTATGGAACAGATTATTCACTTTGATGATTTTCTTTAAAAAACTCCTAGGTAGTGGAACACGAAACAACAGAAGCAAGCCAATGAAAACATAACTCCATTCATCTTTAGCCAAATAGCCTCTAGACCCAAGCTACTAAGGAATGCCCAGTCAGCAACCCCCTGTACTGCAGAAAGGAAGTCATTAAATTAGGGCCTTTAAAGGGATCAATAACAACACGCAGAGAAGGGAATGGAGTTAGTCATCGTTTTATCAAAATACTCGTATGCTTGTCTCTAGGGCTTCCAAGAGGTACATATTTTACTGCTACTGATGACTATGGAAGATGTCATTATGAAAGATTTTATAATGAGAAAACTGAAAAATCTGTTCTTATCACTTGTCACAGGCAGGAAACATCTGAACTCCAGTAAAATCTATAGGACGGAAGCATTTGTTTGTTTTATCACACACATCAGCTCTATATTGTTCTAAGCAGGGGAACCCACTGGGGCCTCTGATCTGTCACTGTATCCAATTAATCCAGCAAGGGGTCACTTCAGCTCATTTCCTAGGTTTTCATCACATTTCCTTATTTGATGAAACTAAAGCAAAATGATAGGTACATAGATTCTTAGCACGACTGAGCTGGACCTCCAAGACTCAGCTCAGTCCCCCTGATAATGCTCTTTTTGTTTACTTTTGCTCATTTAATGATGTGGATACTTGAGAATAATCTTCTGACTTTCATAACATGTGTCCTTGGAGATGGCATAGCCTACGCTGGTATACAATCCTAGGCAAGAATCCATACAAAATGATCATAGAATCACAGAATTGCTCAGTTGAAAGGTCTTCTTCAAGATCGTCAAGTCCAGCCACAACCTAATCATAGTACCGTACCTCTCACTACCCTACATGCAAGACCTCACCAGCTGGGTGACCCCAGATGGCTGCATCACCAGGCTTGGAAAGGGAAGTTGGTTCTCAGGCCTGGGACAGTGCTGCCAGGTGAGAACATCTCCTTGTGACCTAGAGGCCAGGCAAAATATCAGGTGTCTAGCACACATCACATTCTACGTATGTTATCACGTTATCCTAATTCAACCTCTGTAGGGTTGAGGCATCTGTATTAAAAGTCTCTTTTTTTTTTTTTTTTTTGTCCATGCCATGTGTAAAGATTTTAAAACAGCTTTTGGCAAAATTACAGAAAATGAGTCCTATAAAGGCACATCAGCTACTTGAGCTGGGAAAGAAATATCCCTGTGGTTACACAGCTTCCTAAACTCCCCCAGACTGTGGCTTGGAGGAACTGCACAGATGCTCATTTGTTGCTAACAGTTATCTCCTCACCTGCAATTATAAGCCATTTTTAGAAGCTTTTTAACAAATAAAGAACTCAAAAAATAAAATTCACCCCACTTACCTGTGCCATTTTGAGCATCCCTAAATCTGTCCACCCTTGCAGGGGAGGTGACTCTGGCACACACACAGACATTGTATAAGGTGAGAATGTGGATAAGAACAATGAAGGTCATTTCTCAAGCAAATCCAAACAAGACCAGACATTTTGCTGCAGTGAACTGAGGTAGAGCCAGTGATTTCAGTCAGTAACACTTGGCCAACAGACACAGAGTAACGCGCTGTCACTGGTGTCTGGTCCATGAGTCATCTGCCGTTATCCCTCAGGCCTACACTGTGCTGAAAATAGATATAACAATATGGAGGAAGCAATATAGGAAGAGAGGCAGAAAAATACTGTATATAATTGCTCGCGTTATATTACATATGTTCCTGCTGACTTCAAGGTCACTTAGTGAAACTTCAGCTGTGTAGATCTCTGACTCCATCAATAGTCCTCCTTCAATTTTAAGAGCAATACAGAGCCCATCATACAACAGACTCTTGCATATATATTTAGTCTGGTCCTAGGTTGAAGTGACCCCAACATACATCAAGAAGTATTTTATGATCAAAGCGTACATGCTGCTCCATAATCTGTCTGCCAATTCATGCACTGCCCCTTCTGTCAGTCATGAGCTTAATTTCCAGGCCTTGCTCATGAGTCCCATGCCCCTATATTTTTCAGCATACAATGAACATACATTTTACAAGAGCTCTGCATAGGTCTGAGAGTCAGTCTATTGTTGGCCCTACTTACATTAATAGGGCCAACAGCATTTCTTTATTTACTCGCAGTTAAATTAACAAGCGAAACCTTCTGAGTCCCAGCACTTTGGTTTTGACTGCAGAATTGGCTACATGGACTTGGTCAGCTTGTTCTGTTGTCTGGCCATGAAAGTCTACTCATCTGCTCCAGGAATCCAGTCTGTTATCTTGATACTTTCCTCACTACCACGTTCACTTAAGTGATCTGTAAAATGATAAATGTGAATAATAATAATAATAATAATAATAATAACAAAGCTGTTTTGAGAGTAGCTAAAATATACTTTACAAGAAGCAAATAGTTTTTGCAGGAAGAAAAAAACAAGACTTGGACAGACATTAGGCAGTTTTCTGTTGTGTAACCAGGTACTGGCACATTGCATACAAAGAATACCCATCTGAGCTGAATTTCATTTATTGGTGAGCTTTGCTTTTGCTAAAGTGGAAAAAGGGAATCTGAGAAAGAGTTAAGAATTTCCTCTCGTCTGATTACATCTGACCTTCCATTAGTCACTGAAAATGAAATGGCTTGTAATGGGATCTTGTGGTTTCTATCACTCTAGAAAAGCCATTTTTACGAGGTCACAACTTGATGACTCTGATGAGTCACACCTCATGAAAAAAAAATGCAGATTTGAGAGTGGCTAGCTCTGGTGGTCAGGGGGATGTGAAGGGTCCCCTGTGGCCTCTCTCATAGGGAAACGCTGCCAAGAGCTGGCGTGCTGGATTTGTGCTGGTCTCATGGCCAGTTCAGAACTGCTGGGGATGTTGGCCTGCTCACAGAGGATGATTGAGGCTCACACACTCCATGTTGCAGAGCAAAAGTGGAGGCATACAGTTGAAACTGTGAGGAGAAAAAGAAGCTGCTTCTCAGCACGTGCTTAGATTTATTTGTAAGCAAGCATGTTAGCTCAGTAGCCATTGCAAAATGATATTTTCCTGCATCACACTATAGCCTTCTACGGCATCCAAAGTCAGTTTCCCTAATGCCCCAAAGAACTGTGCTACCTGAAGGGCCTGAGTACACAATACCATACGTATTGAATTTACTGCATGCATCAAATAGAGTAACCGCAAGCAAACGTTATCACATAAAGAGTGTGGTGTCCATACCTACCATAGATATCATGTTCCTTTAGAACAAGTTTCTTTCTCCACTACTTTGTGGCAACATGAATTAAAAATGTGTATTTATAAGGTGGAATGTAGCAGATGAGCACTTCAAAGACCATCCTGAAAGAGGCCTTGAACTGTTTGACTACTACACAACACTTTCACAGAATATCTTTATAAGAGCCAGTCATTTGAATTCAACCATTTCTGGACAGTGACAAAGAAATCAAATTAAAGGCCATAGATGCTTGTACACAGTCATGCAAAGAAAGCTGTGGAAGAGTAGCTTGAATCATTAATCATAATTATTATACATTTTATCTAAGATTTGTTAATGGATCATTCACTACTCTATGTTAAAAACTTGAGAGCCGTGATGCTTGCTGACTCACCTGTTGTGTGGAATCTGTTCTGTAAACTGATGATTATTTAAGCAGGAGACTAGCAAATCACAGAGCTGCAGAATTGTAGAGGTTGAAAGAGAGATCATGTGGTCCAGCCCTCTTCATCTTATTGCAGATGGCTATCAGGTCAGTAAAGCATTGTTGCCCCTTCATAAATCCATGCTGAATACTCCTGATCACATTTTTGTCCTTCATATGTCCAGAAATAACCAAATTCTCAGGACAATGTTTTCCAACACCTTCCCAGGCACTGAGGTGAGGCTGACTGTCTGGTAGTCCCTCAGATTTTCCTTCTTGAAGATACTTTCTCTGCTCCATTCATCAGGAATCTCTACCAGTTATCGTGACCATTCAAAGATAATTGCAATGACATCATTTAGTACCATCAGCATTCCTGAGCACAACCCATCAGAACCCCCAGATGTACATATATCCAATGTAAGCGCTTCCCAATTTAGCTCTTTTCCACCACCACCTAATCTTCTTCCATCTAGTCTTTTTTATCTCTTCTCAGTGGCCTGGGATTTCTTGAGGCTGATTTTACCAAAAATCAAGTAAAGAGCAAGAAGGAAAAGCACTGAGTACCATGGTCTTCTCCACATCATTTGTTCCCCTGCCCTGTTCAGCAATGAATCCATGTTTCTCCTATCATCTTTTTACTGCTTATATGCCTGTAGAATCTTTTCTTGTTGGCCTTCAATCTTTCACCAGATTCAATTCCAGGTCAGCCTTCTCTCTCCACAATCCCATCTCTACACTGCTGCTCCCAGATCACCTACCCCTGCTTCCACCTCACATACTTCCTTTGTATGTCTGAATTCATTTAGGCACTCCTTTCTCTTCCAGGAGCAAGGCCTCCTGCCCACTATGCTTTTTGGGATGGACATTTCTTGAGAAGCCAGCCCTCCCAAATCCCTTTTCTCTCCAGGCCATATCCTATAGGATTCTTCCAAGCAGATTCTCACGGGGATTGAAGCTTGCTCGCATGAAATCCAGGGTTATGGTACTGCTTTTTGCCTTTCTCCCACCTCTTATTCCAACATCTCATGTTGTATTTATAAGGTAGTAAAGGTAGTTAAAGGTAGGTAGTGCAGGCTACCTTTGACTTTCATGTCTCCAACCATATGCCATGTCTTATTCCTTGTTTGTAGCATTAGTTACTTGTGTTCTCCTTGTTTGCTCTTCAGTCACTCGATTTGTACAGGATTACACCTCTGCTCTACACCTTATGCAGTAAGGCTGTTCTATGTCAGTGAGCATCTCCCTATGAACACCGTTCCGAGTTTGCAGTGCTGGCAGTGAAAGCTGTTCTCACTAGGTATGAATGCCAGGAAGACACACGCTGCATCATTTTGTTTCCTGACTGCACCAACACTGCTCTTAGAACCAGACTTTTGGCACAAATCATCACTATTGCACTGACAGATTATTCTATCATCAGTGTGAGGTTCAAATGCGAGGTTCAGTAAAAACTCTGCCTGGTGTATCGTTATAATTCACAGGGGGAAAAAAAAAAAGACAAGTAAAAAAAGAGGTAAGGCCTTAATTCCAAAAAGCACTGAATACTTCTTTTCATGCTCTTTTTAATACTAATCTAGGGTTAGCAAATATTAACATCCTCAAGCTCTCTGTCTAATGTAAGGCTAACTCTCATAGAAGTTAAGATGAATGTTTGCAAATACCAAGCATTCAGTGAGAGACTGAGTACTCTTTAACATAACAGTTCTGCAACGTTTTCAACAAAAAGCAAGGACTTTGGCTGCCCGAATCAAAATAAGTAGAGCCTTAGTTTCCAAGAGTGAGTGCTCAGGCATCTGAACTCGACTTCCTAAAAAACAAAGGCAATGAAAATTGCTAAATAGCTTTGAAAAGCAGCATTTAACTTCAGTATTGCTGATTTTTTAACTGTTGAAAATTGGAGCCTCAATGTTATACTAACACGTTTTTACATTTTCCCTAGAAACAGATGGAATAATGCTGCTCATGCTATGCCAATGTTGTTGCATAGTCTTTATTAAAATTGCTTCAAGGCAAAAAGATGTATGAACAAAGGCAAGGGGTGGAGAAACTTGGCAACTCCTAAAGATTTTCAGACTTGAGTTGTTTAACTCTCAGCCAGCTCTGTGCATCATAAATATCCATAACTTCATCAAGGGTGGAGAAGCTGGGTGCATTAGCTGGCTTCTGGGTGAAGAGAGCCCACGTGACCTTGGTCATGCAGAAGGTAGCTAAGATGGATAACAAATAAAAAGGAAGGAAATGGAAAGGGGAACATATACAGATGGAAGAAGGACAAGCTTGGCAAGCAAGTAAGGAAAAGTCTGAGAGCAATTAGATTTACAAGAAATTTTAAAATTGAAAACTGAGTATCAGCTTTTCTTTAAATCTGGGGGAAAAAAATCCTTATCTTGCTCAGAGATTAATTCTAATTTTGACAAACTGCACATGGAGCAGATAAGCATCTGTTTGTATGCGTGTGTGTGTGTGTGTGTGTGTGTGTGTGTGTGTGTGTGCATACACATATAAATGTCTTGAATATGTACATCCAAAGCATGACCTAAAGCTACTAAATTAGAGGGAACAATACCCATTTGGCTTCAGTGGGTTTTGGACCATGTCCTCAATCTTAACAGTTTCAGCTTTGAAAAAAGGACAATAAAATGCACTGTCTTTCTACAAAACCTGAGCTAAGTTATCAACAAAACAAAAACTAAACAAAACAGCAGCAAAAGAGCTTTCAATCTTCCAACCATGTAACTGCCTTCAATTAACTAACATTGATTTCTCTTTGCCTATATTGAGAATGTCTACATCCCAAAAAGAAGCAGAAGAAAAACATTTGCATGATAACCATAAAAATCACCAGAGAGAAAATAAAGTTTTCTGTCTCATTACCTTTTCTGTGTGGTAATCAATTACAAAGAAAGAACAGTGCAGGTTCAATTAAGTAACTAAATCAAAAGGAATTAAAAGCCACAGGGGATCTTTATTTTACTTATGTTAAAGGAGGGTCTGTCTCCAGGTCTCATTGACTTGTCTGTGGCATATAATGGGATTTAATTCCTCCGAACAGTCTGTCAGCATTAGCTGATCATAATGAGGAAAATGGGGTTAGAGAAAACAGAACTACTGAGAACAGCTTTCCCAAGTGTAGCCTGCCCTCCTCCCTTCTTCCTCCAAATGGGATAATCCTGAGCTCTCAGCACATTGCAATATATAAATGAACCATTAGGGAAAACGAAGGCCCCTCCTTTGAAATGTAAGACACAATTCAGAGAAACAGTGGATGCTCTGTCCCAAGTCAGCAAGCGTGTGAATACATGCTTACCTTTACTTATGTCTTCCACTGATTTCAGGATTGGCATATGCTGAAAAAAGCCTTTAGTGTCTTGCAGAACTGCAAGATCATATGAAGTGGTGAGAGATTCATTTAAAAAGGAATATGATTATTTATTTTAGAACTTGAAAAAATAGCTGTGGGTTTGTTTTTGAGTTTCATATTTTGAAGTTAGTCAAGCAACAATTTCATTGTATCCAGTTAGCTTCCCCTGGGCAAAAACAAGAGTTCTAGACACATGCACAACCTAGGATTTGTACAGATAGCTGAATGGAAAATTTAAGAGAAACCGTCAACTCTGGGATGCTTAGCCAGTGAAAAGCAGTTTTCTGTAGCTC